TTTATTTAATTTGAATAAATAATAATTTATTGAAATACTAATTGAATTTTAACTATTAATATAATAATATTAATTTTATTTTTAGAAATCTTCTGCTTAAATTTTGTATTTAAAAAAAAAAAATTGTAATTTTTTTAGAAAGTAGTTTTTATGTTAATCATTTTGTGAATGTAAGATTATTAGATTTTGTAAGTGTAATAGAAAAGAATTCATTTATATAGTTTAATAATTTATTGTAAGATTAAAATTGTTTCGATTAAAACTATAGAAAAATTTACATATTTTTGATAATATATAAGATTATTTGAGAATTAATTTTAGTATAAATAATATATAAGAATATTATGAAATAGAGAATATTTTAAAACGAAATAATTGAAAATAATTATATATGTAAAAATCGAAAAAAAAAATTTAGAAATATATGAATGAATTTTATAAATGATTTATGAAATTTTGTGATTGTATGAAAATAGATTTTATTTTTTTTTCGAATGATATTTAGAACAAAATCTGAATTTTTTTGAGAAGCATCAATAATATCAGATGAATTATTTTATTATTTTTGTGAGTGTTTCATTGAATATTTTATTTAAGAGAGTGTCAATATTAAGTCGTATAAAATTTTAGAAAATAAATTTAGTATATATATGTACATAATAATTATATAAAAAATAATTACATTTTATTATGCAATCTTTGTTTTTTCTATCTATTTTTGTTTTTTTTTTAAATTTAATTTAAAAAAAAAATTTGGAAGCGGTTATCTAATTTTAAAAAACAAAAAAATTTTGATTTCAAATTTAATTTTAACTACAAATTTTGAATATTTAAAATCTTATTATATTTTTATTTCTTATTTATTTTTTAGGCTTATATAATAAATATATTGAATAAAATTTTTTTATTATGTATTGTAATTTTGTGTATAAGATCAAAATTTGTAGCCAAAATTTAATTTTTTCTTTTAAAAAATATTTACAATTTTTAATGTGTGCTTTCACATTAATTTTTTTTCATTCAAAAAAAAAAACTAAACAAAAAATATTAGGGCAACATTTAACGAAGAATAATTATTGAAAAACGCTAAATTGGAAGAATTACAACTATTCTTTTAATAAGGAATAAAATTACAAAATGATATATTAAATATTAAAATTATACCCTGAATTAAAATCTTTAACAAAAAAATATTTTAAATTGGGAAAAAAAAATTTTATTTTTAATTATAAAAGCACTGACACCTAAATAAAAATTGTTTATTTAATTTTAAATATAATATCACAATCTGTACAAGTAATTATTGTTTGTAAAATGTTTTTTTTATGAATTATTTAAATAATTTTAAAAATGTATTCAGAAATAGTTTGTGTCAAATATAATAATTTATTTTTGTTAAAAATGTTTTAAGAAAGTATAAGTTTAAAAAGTATAAGTTTAAGTTCGTGGGAATCGGCCACCGTTCATAAAATTTTTTCAAAATACTCAAAACACTCAAAAAATGTGGAAAAATAGTAACATTCAAGTATGTATGTAATTCTCGCAATTTAATAATTACAAAAAACTTTATATTAAAATTTTTGAATAACTTCTTTTCCACATTTTGATAATTTTTACATAATTTAAATGTCAGTATTTTTATTTTAAATTTATATATGTATATTAAAGTAAAATTTTGAAAACTATATTATGTATATTAAAAAACTTTGATAATTATGTTAAAAAGATTTTAATTTCGATATAAATAAAACTATATCAGAGTATATTCGAGTCCTGTAGCTATTACTCATATTTTTTTTTCATATTAATATAAATATGAAAAATTACAATAAACATTTTAGCTTTTCATTTGACATTATACCATTATATTCAATTTATATACATAATATATTTTAAATTTATAGTTATGTATATATTAAAGGAGGTCTAATTTTTATTATATTTTACTATATGAATCAATATATTATATAAATTTATAGTCGTATGTTAGTCGCATTGCATTTTAGAATTCAAAAACAATTGTGCAAAGTATAAGAAGACATTCTGTTAATTGTGTGACTGAAGTAATATAAATATTTATTCTATCACGTCCTATCCAATAAGCATTTCTGTGATGAAAATATTTTCATACCGACAGTTTTTGCAGCTGATATGATGTTAAAAATAGATTGTGTTTATTTAAACAAAACAATTATATTATTTGTATTTTGTGATTGAAAAACTATTATAAGTTTAAAAGTTATAAATAAATTTTAATTGTTAGCTTCGAAGAAAATTTAATTTATTTGGGAACAAACAATAACCGTTTGATAATATGTACAATTTTTTTAATACTCACTTCTTATTGTGATACTAGCAAAACAAAACTGTCATTATGCTACAGTAGTTACGTCTTCGACTTAAAAAAGGTAGATGTTAGATTTTTTGCATAAAAACATAAAAGGTTCTTGCAATATGAAGTGAACTTAATCATGAATTTTATTGAAAACTATTGCAGCTAGTTTATATAGCTATCCATACATGAATCCACATGCTTAAATTTGTGATATATACAATTTTCAGGTTAACTGAAATATTTTTCATATTTTTTTGGAAGCATCACAATTAGATGTTATAAAAACTTTTATTTTGTTTCTTTAATTATTATTTATTATTTACAATAATATTATATATTGTAAATTATGTACAGTAGAAATTGCAAATTTATCGTAATATTGTACAAATTTTTGTGTTAATTATTTTTTGAAGAAGTCAAAAAATAAATCATTACCGAAACAAATTCTAATTGTATAAAGAAATTAATATAAAAATATTATAAAAACACAAAAAAAAAATTAAAAAAAAAAATATATTTTTTTATACCTATCTTTGTTGATTTAATCAATTTTATATTATAAAATTGAATTATTATATTTTATTTCTCCATTTAATTTTATATCATTTTATAATTTTTTTTCCTTAAAAAAGAATCTAATTATATATACGCACATAAAAATTAACTAATAAACAAATATATTATTATTTACTATATATTTAATAAAATATATAAAAAGAATAAAAATTAACGAAACATAAATGAAAAAAAATCACAACACAATAAAAAAAAACAAATCATTTATATAAAGAGAAAAAACAAGAGACACACCAAAAAAAGAAAAACGAACCAATTAATAACATAAGTATATCATAAATATAAATTATATATACGAAAATATATTATATAAAATCTAAAATAAAATTTAATTAAGTAAGAAAGAATATTAAAAATAAATAAGAAAAAGGAAAAAAGAAAACAAAAAATTAAATGTATAGCAACAGTATAGTTTGATTTAATATAAATATAATTTTTTTTTTTCTTATATATTTTTGCTTTTGATTTTCGCTATAGTAGAAAAGTTGACAGAAATCAAATTTCACTTCAGCTGAAAGTAAGTGTTGTTCAATTCAAGCGATTAAATCAAATCACAAAATTTTTTTTTTCTTTTTATATAGAAGAACTTTTTTGGAATTTTTTTTTTTACATTAAAACTCAGGAACAGAATATTGACAACATAATGTAGACAAATATAGAATATAAAGAAAAAAGAAGAGAAACAGAATTAATTAAATCTGTTCTTATATATTTATATAAAAAATACAGTTTTATTATGTTTTTATATTTTTTATACAATATATTTAAAATAAATAGAATTAAGAAAAAAAAATGAAACAAAAAAAGTAAAGAATAAGAATTAAATGATAATTTAATAAAATAATAAGAAAAAAATTAAACAAATATAATGGAAAATAAATTAGAAAGAAATTTTTTTAATATATTGGAAATTTAGAAAAAGAAATTACAAATGACAGAATTTTCCACAATTCATATTGATAACTATATTATTGTTTGCTTATGCACAGATGCAACGATCATATTATAAAGATATTAAATTGATTAGAAAATATTTATGTCAAATTTTTGACATCATAATTTATTAATATTGAAGAAATTATGATACTATTTAATTATTATAGATTATGTATTGAAAAAGAGTTTGCGATATTTTGAAACAATATTCTTCGATACCATAAAGGTATTGTCAAATAATAAAGTTGGCTCAAACGAATTGTTTGTTTAGTAGCATTTTTTTCTTCAGCAAATGAAAATACGGTTTTTAATCACATTCTTCTACATAATTTATAATACTTTCATTCATACACAAAAATATTTCAAATAATTGCATACATTTCGGATGACATAGCAGTGAATTCAAGGGTTACTTGTGTGAGCAATAAGTTAAATAATTATATTTATTCATTGCAGTTTTGGAATATGAATAATAAATAAAATATAAGAATAAATTCATAATTGTTGCATATTAAAAAAAAAAGTTAGTTTTAATTTTATTAAATTATAATCTCGAGGGGTCAATTGATTAAAATTGACGAATTTTGTTAAAAATAAATAATTTTTTTTTTAATTTTTAAATTTTTTATTACTCATCATCAAGATTATTTAATTTAATAAAACAATGGGGGGGGGGGGGGGTATTTCTAAGAATTTGAAAATATTTTTTAATTATTAAAGTATTAATTTTTTGGAAAATTTCTGTCACTAAACTAAAATGGAAAAACATTAAAGAAAGTTTATAACATAAAAAAAAAATTAAAATAATTGAAAACAAATTGAAAACGAAATGTCAAACTCAAAAACAAAAATGAACAAAATAATTGTACATAAAATATTTACAAATTTAAAAGCAAAACATATGTAATTAAAAAAATTTTTTAACAAAAATTCAAAAAATTACATAATCATAAAAAAATCAAATTTCAAATAGAAAAAAAATTAATTATTCAAAAATCAAAAGATAAAAGAAAAAAATTATTATTATTTTTTTTTTTTTTTTAGTTAGATAGTTATCAAATAACAGTAATAATTAATTAATTCATAAATATATTAATAATATAGATCACAACATCAAAAAGGAAATCTGTGTAGTTATTAAAAAATTTTTTACCTTGTTGGAAATTTGGATAGCCATGTTTTGCAGCAATTAGGACGTTTTGGTGGTTGCATATGAACCTCACATTGACGTAATTTTTCCAATGCTAATGGATCACCAGGATGACGAACTAATGGCTTCTGCTTATTTTTTTTATATATTTTTTTTTTAATTTTTTTGTTTTTTTTTTTTTTTTTTGGGTTTATTAAAATAAAAATTACATAATACATTTGAACATATTAAATTAAATTAGAAATTATAAAATAAAAATTTCTTTGTAATTAAAAAATTTTTTTTTGTTAGTTAATTTTTTTTTTTTATTTTACATCCATGATTTTTATGAAATATATATTAAATACTATAGAATAGCTCTCGTTATTTTAAAATTTAAGTATATTTGTATAAAATAGAGTTGGCTAATTAGAACATGTACTTAAAATAATTTTTGAAATGTGCCTGTAACGTTTAGTTAATTTAAGAATATTGTATGTATATGTATGCATGTAATTAACTATTTAAGTAATTAACTATACTAACTAGATACATGTACATACATATGTACTTATATATAATTGCACCACATTCCTGCATAAACACGATTTTTTTTTTTCGAATAAATTTTTATTACATGCACATGCAAATTAATACATACAGATTTATATAGCATGTAAGCAGTTATATGAGCACTTATTATATAATACATTATGTATATCGATTGTAATCGTAAAAAATTAAAAATTATTCACTTATTATACCATGGTAGAACAGTCATTTTTTATGAAAATTTAATCCGGTCAAATAAAATTTAATTAATTTTTTTTTTTCGAAATAAAAATAATGTGGTAAGGAAATGTATTATAATTTCATCCGAAAACTTCATATCGTAAAATTTTACTAAAAAACTGATACATACAAGAATTGAATTGTGTATTTAAGAATGCATGGTCAAAATATGCATACAGTGCAAAACGATATTGAATTTTGTTGAAATTAATGTCGCTGTAAACGTATACTTTTCCTACAGTTATTAATTATTTAATTATAATATTATTTGAGCTTTAAACAAGAAGATTTTAAATTCTGTTTTTATTCATTATTAATATTCAGTGATTTCCAAAACGCAGTGAAAACGTAAGATTTACAATGTATCATATTCCAAAATATATATTAAAAACTCTTTGACATTGTATTCTAAAATGTATTCGATACGTTTTAGAATGCAATGTCAACTGCTCTTTTCATACAATGTATACTGGTTTCAAAAGCTTTTCGTTGTTGTAAAACTGAATTTAGATGGTAGTTACACTGTATTAAAACTTTTTATACTGCATTTTTGGCACATATTTTCAATTTTTAATCTATATATCTGCACAATGAAGAATAAATGAGGACAGTAATGATTTTAGTCATAAATTCAGAAAATCCTATTCTATGCAAACAGTTTTATAAATTATGTGTTAGTAAAATTCAAATTTTTGATTGATTAAATATTGAGAAAATCTGTTTTAAGTTTAAACTATTGTAGGAAATATTATTGGCAATCAGAATATATATCAATTGATGTATATTAAAGTTAAATAAAATGTGTTTTATATATTATTATATAAATATATAAAATAAAAAATACTTACCATTGCAAATGTTGCATTACTGTCAGTATCCAATAAATCGGAAGCTGCATCTAAGCTGGCTTGTTCTAAATCTCGCCGTTTTTTCTTCATATTTTCTCTATGCATATCTGCGGCTCGATCCGTATATTTTTATTGTGTGAATATATAGGGAAAGTAGAAAGATTTTTTCAAGAATTTTATTGTTCCAGTGTAAATGAGATTATGTTTTACAAAATTTTGTTTTTATTTTTTTTTTTTATATAAAACATTTATACAAATTAATTGGGTGTTTGATGTGTTTTTATTTTGTTTTGTTCAGTGTATATAAAATATTGTTTTTTGGTAAAATTTAATTGAAATTGTTTTTTGTGTTGTAAAAATTAAAAGCAAAAAAAAAATTTATATAAAATTTGTGTAAATAATTTATTTATATTGCAAAATTAAATTATTTAAAAAAAATTTGTTAATTCATAATTTTTTGTTTTTTTTTTTTTTTATACAATTTACATTTAGAAAAGTGTGTGGAAAAATATTTAAATATTGGTTTGATTTATATATATATATATAATAATAAATTGGTTGACGTTTATAAAAATATAATTTCATTCAGTTGTTGATTATTTGTTTGTTCGTTCATTCATTCGTTAAAGCATCATTGAACACGCGCCAGCGTTGAACGTTTTAACATTTTCATTATTTTGTTAACGATATTGAATTTTTGTTTTTTTTTTTGATATTTTATTTATTTTTAAATAAAATAGATAAAAAGTAGAAAAGAAATAAAAAAAAAAATTTAAAATAAATAAAATTATATTATAAAAAGTTATTTTTTTATGTAATTATTTTTTATTTATTAAATATTAATAAATATAAAAAATTTTTAATTTTTAACTAAGCAATAAAACTGCATTAACTTTTTTATTAGAAAAACAAAAATAAAAGTGTTATTTTTTATAGCATTATTTAAATAATTAATGCAAAAGGAAAATGCAATTTATTTCATTTCCATAAATGAGGAAAAAAACTAATTTTCAAGAACAAAAAAAAAAAAAATTTAAGAAAAAAAAATAATTTATTAATAAAGAAAATCAATAAATTTATTCGAATTTTTGAAGTTTTAAGAAGAAGAACAAGAAGAAGCATTCGTAGCAGAATATTTTAATTAAAATAATAAAATTTTTTATGTATTAAAATGTAATGGTATAAATTTGCAAAAGGGTAAATAATGTAAATATTATTTAATTTTTTCTTTCGTTTCTACTAATGGTACTAATATGGTATGTTGAATAAATTGATATTTTTTTGTTATACTTTATTTTAAAGTGATAATTTGAAGCAAACTGTTAATGAATAAAATCATATTATTAACTACGTTATACAAGTATATATGAATAAATAATTTTTGTATAAAGATTATGATAACTATTGTAATGTAAAAATTTATGATATTTTTTGATTTTTGATTTAGATGAAAAATTTTTTATATAAAATGTTTCAAATTGTATGCAGTAGAATTAAGAGATTTGACTGTATAATTCTTTAACTAATTTTCAATCTGATTGCTATTAATAATGATTTTTTACTAATTTTTTTCTATATATTGAATTCCAAATGATTATTTTAATTGTTATACTTTGTATAACAATTATTTAATTGTTTAAGCCTATATAATATATAACAATTTCTTTTAAAAATAAAAAAACATTGAAAAAAATAAAAATTAATTATTTTATACAAATATATAATTTGTGTCTATATAGTGAATATTTTTACCTGTATAAAAAATTAAAATGAAATCATTTTGTAAAGATATGAAGCTTAATTTTGATTTAATTGAAGTAAAATTGGTTAATATTGAAAACATTCTTAAAAAATAAGTTCTATGTTCTAAAATATTTTTAATTTTAATAATTTAGTTTATATTCTTGACGTAATAGCTAAGTTTTTTTTTTTTGATTGATTGGACGGTGAATTTAAATTTTTTTAAGTTTTATTTAAATTTTATATATGATATTAATTATTTAATTTGAAATATGTTATCTGAATATCTAAAATATTTTTTATGAACACTTAAAATTTTATTTAATTATTAAAAATATTCTAGTAACCTTTTATATTTCAATTAACATAAAAGAGTTTTACGAGCATTATTATAAAAGAGATTATATTCCTATTTGACGTCTATATATATATTATTTTTGATATATAATTTTGATATGCTGATATTAATTTTTAATAATATGTAAAATTTATACTGTATATACTTGTAATTAATTTTAAAATTCTTTCAAAATCATATATTAATATTTTTTGAATAGAAATATAAGAATCGGATTTTCTAAATTTAAATACAAGAAAAAAAGGAACCGTTCTACTGCTACATATTAAAACTAAATATGATATGAAAAATCTATAAAATAAAATTTTATATTTATATTATGATAAATTTATGATATTTGAATAAATTATGATATGTTGATGTTATATATTAAAAAAAATAATATATTTAAATAATAAAAAAAACTATAATATATTTAAATAAAAAAAAAATAAATAATAATACAAAAAAATTATAAAATGAATTTTTATATTATTTTTAAGTGAACTGCATTGCAAGTACTACAATTCATAAGTACAATAAAAATTTTTCAATTTTATATTAATTTTGATAAAATCATTTTTTAGATATAATTCTGAGTTATGTCTCATAATTGCTATAGACGCAGTGTGATTGTAACCATTTTTTTTTATAGAAAAGTGAAAATGAAATCGTTCTAAAATAGAAAGTTTTTAGAGCAGTTTAAATTGGAAACTTATTATCTTTTTATTTATCCTTCTTTGATATATTGTATTAAACTGGAAATATTTATAAAATTGTGACAATACTCGTATCATAAATAAAATGGCTTTTATTATAGGCAAGGATAATGACTCATACTATACTCAAGTTACTTTTATCTCTTTTATTCTTAACATTATTAATTAATTTAATTTTTTGTAATTAATATGCCTAGAAGTTATTATTTAATAACTAGCAACAATTTATTGAGAGGCGCGACGCAAATATGATATTACAATATAATTTTTTACATAATATTTTGTTTTATCGTACATATATGTAAATAGTATAACTAATAATTTTAATAATTAAGAATTTATTAAAACAAGTAAATATTGAAAAGCAATAAAATATCAAAATCTTTTCTAATATTTTGAGATTTTTCTATTGGAGTTTTTAGGCAAATTAAATTAGAGAATGGATATTAAAATTCTTAAAATAGCATTTTTTTTTTAGAATAAAATGAAACATGATGCGACATAGTATACACCAACATCTTATACAACCTATAATGTTTTTTTTATTTAAAATGTTTTTGGTATGTATAAGAACGCAATTAAAAGGCAGAGCTCAGATTAATCTCACAATATAATGGAATATTAAATCAAACCAATTTTTTTTTTTCATTTCAATAAAATATTTAATTTCGATATATTTTATATAGGTAATATAAAACTTGGAAAAAATATATAAAAAGGAAAAAATTCAAAAAAATTCTTTTAATAATTTACACATAAAATTTTAATTATATGATGGTGGATTTGAATTATATATATAATATATAATAAAACTACAAATTATAAAAGTAATATTTACTTAGACTACAATAAAATATTGTATATGGATGCTTGTGAATTTTTTTTTTTTTAATTTTTTTATTCAAATTTTCAATTAAACTTTAAAATTTTTCAAAATTATGTGAATTTATTTCCGAGTGAAGAAATTTAAAAAACAAAAATGAAAATATTTCAAAAGTGAGTATACACGAAAATATTCTACATAATATAAGAAGATATATATATATATATATATATAAATGTATATATATATATTAAAAGTATATATGAGAGGTAAAACAAAAAAAAAAACATAAGGAAATGATATGTTAATCTACCTTGGCGAGAATAAAAAAAACGAAACAGAAATTAAATTTGTATAAAAAATTAATTAAAAAAAAAATTCTGAAAAATTGAAAATTTTTCATAAATGAATTCAAAAATTAATGATAATATAATTAAAAAACAAAATGATTAGAAATTATATTTTAAATATTCGATAATCTATTTAAGTATGCTTTAGGAAAATATGTAGGTAAACTTTTAAAATTTAATGATTTCTTTTAAAATATTTTATTCAAACAGATTGAAAATAGAATTTAACATTTATAATTTATATGTGATAACATTATAATAACATTACTCTATATACTTATACATAGTAATGAAATTTCAATAATAATGAATATTTTGTGCTTTAATTTTGAAAAAACAAAAATTATTTTAATTAAACCTTCAGTACACGTATATCGAACTCAAATATGAACGAATTTATTTAATTTTAGAAAATCATATCAATAAAACAATGTTTTACATTTTCAAATTATAAAATCGAATTTTACACAATATCGTTCAATTGAAGAATCGAATTAGTTACTAAAAAGGTTTTATAAAATTCCAATTAAAAATTTATGTTTGATGCAATATGATATCATGTTATGTTAATAACGTATAATAGTCTATTAGAATTTAATTTTAGAATAGTACAAGTATATTTATATGAGAAATTTTTGAATTTGTAAAAATTTTTCAATTTAATCCTTTTTTTTTTCTTCAAATTATATTCATAAATTTAAGTGTTTTAATATAATTTTTATACCAGTACAAATGTACATTTGAAAGGTATTATAAATTTGCCTTATTGTTTGTAACGCTAAGAAATAATAATGTAAGATATAAACATAAAATATATATCAAAATTCTGAGTCGATTTAAGAATGTCTTTTTATTATTCAGTTCGTCCTAACGATAAATCAAAAACTAATTGAGCTAGACTCACAAATTATTTACAACAGTATAAATGCCTAAACCATATTTAAATTGGATGTGATCGAGACAGCGGTTCGAGTAGCTGTCCTACAATTTGAAAAATTCTTTGGCTATATCCCAAAACTTATTGAAGTTATAATAGAAAAATTTTACACATGCAAATATATTATTAGTATAGTTGTGTGTTATAAAAACAATTAAAATTTTTTGACTCCTTGTGGAAGCTGCCATACAACTTGAATTATTATTTGGTCATATCATAAAAACTAAATAAGGTCCAGTACTGCAATTTTGTATAAACAAATATGGTAATATGGCTACTATTTTCGATAAAATTTGTTGAAATATCATGAGCGCTTATCTGTATGTAACTGTTATACAACTTCGAAAGCTATTTGATATTATCTCTCATCTCATAATTTATTATTCAATAGTCATACATTTAATAATATTTATTCAATATTTTAATGGAAGGAAAACTACAGTAAGAGAAGTGTAAAAGCAATAACACAAAATTAACTCTTATGTTTGAGTTAAAATTAACTCCAAAGTAATTCTAGTGTTTGGAACAATTTGTCACTGATACTATATTGCTATATTTAAGTATTCTAAATATAGATTAAACTTCCTATATTTTAAATTTTTTTAGAATATATTGTTTTAACTTAATATTTTTAATGGTTTCTTTTTAGTTTTGATTCATAGTTGTTTCGCGAAAATACATATATGAATATTAATGATGAACAATTTGTATTTTTGAAATAATGAGTTACATATACATACATAATTATGATTTAATTTTTTTATTTAATGATTTTATAACAAAATGATGGTATATTTTTGAATTTAAAAAGGAAAACAATATGGATGTATATACTCACTTCTGGTAAAATAATGTTTTTGATTACTTTAAAGAATATTTTATCATTGATTTTAATATTTAATATTAATAATAATAAATAATGAAAAAAAAATTACAACATAAATAAGATGTTAAGTTTTTTTTTTTGTTTTTGAATTAATCGTATGATTCTGGATGAAATTTTCTAAATGAAGACAACTCTAACTCTAAAGTGCAGCCTTTTACATTATACTATATATTAATAGTAACATATTCATTGTAATGCTTTTTTAACATGATTAATGAGAAAAAAAATTTATAATATATTTTTTTTTATTTAGAATTTTAAATCTTTAAGAACTATATATAAATAAACTGGCAGAGCAAGGTTTCATTTAACTTTAACATTTTTTTTTTTAATATAAAGATTTTTTCTTTTAAAAATGCAGTTGATTTGTTTTTTTTTGTATAATAAATTTTAAAAAAATTTTATTTTTAATATTGAATTTTTTAATTTTTCTCATTTAATAGATTTTTCTTTCGTGTATTTTAGATTATCAGAATTGTATCCTGGCTTTCAGTGGAGAAACAGTTCTTGTATTGAAATTGTGCTATCAATATTTTAATTCAATTGGGACCTTTCGACTTCTTCAAATCAAATAATTAAATCAGTAAAGATTATAAATAATGTAGAGAGTAATTTTTTTATTTAATAAATTTAGAATAAGTACTCGTATATAAATTAGAATTATACAAATTAGAATAAGTATTACAATTATTTTTGGAAAATTTTAAATTATGTATTCAGTTATAAAATCAGTAAATGCAAAATAACACTTTTAATTGTAAGAGCTACAAGCGCAAGTTATTGACTTTCAAATTCCAATTTTAAAATTCTATCTCGAAATTTTATACATGAAAGGACCGTAATTTTTTTTGTTTTTGTTATTTTCGGGTCAAGATTATATATAAATTATACATAAATTTTCTTAAAATGTACAAAATAAAAAAAATCTATAAAATTTTATTTTTGTCTCTTTCCTTTTACAACTATACAAATTTTTATGAAACTTAATTCGTAATTTTTGAAAAACTGCATTTTTAAATTATGGAGGAAAAAAAAAAAAGCAATAAACGAAATTTCACAATGCAATTTAAAAACAGTTTCCATTGAGCAAAGAAAAAAAACAAGATAACAAAAAGTACATGACAGTTAAAACTGTCAAAAATAAAACAATTTTTTTTTTTAAAATAATTCTGTTAATTTTCGTAATTTACTCACTCACTGCGCGACGAATTTTTAACAACAAAATTGTTATTTAATTCAAAATCATTGATTTTTTTTTTGTTATGGTTTAATTAGTATTGAAATAGAGTATAAAAATATAAAAAAAAATATTTATTATTAGTTTTATTTTATCACCATAGGTAGACTTTTTAAATTTTAATAAATTAAAGTAATAAAATATTAATAAATTAAAAAAGAGAAAAAAAAAGCAAATTGTATATTTTGTAAATTAAAATTTTGGATTTTAATATTTTCCTAATCTATTTTTTTTTTTTTTTCAAAATATACATATAAGTTAAGAATTATAAAAATTTTTAAATTAAAATCAGTATTACATAATATTTTTCCTCATTTTAATTAAAACAGAAACAAAAAGAAAGAAATTAAAAAAAAATTTTTGATTTTAAAATTCAGATAAAATCAGATAAAAAATATTTTCATAAAATCAAAATTTATTTAGAACAAGATCAGTTTTTTTTTTTCTAATTTTAATTAATATTTAGTTATGAAAAATTTGTTTCAATAGATATTGTCAAATTGATAAGACATTCACCCAATATTCTGTTAGACACATCACATGACGCAATGGTTTGCTATTTGAAAAGCTTATATAATTCTGAATAAAACTAGAAATTCGAATTTCGAAGTTCTATACCGAAAAACCAAATTCTTTTCAATAATAGCCGATCACACCAAGTGATGGGACTAACAGAATATATTTGGTAATAGTTAACGAAAACCCGGGATTATGTTTTATTATTAAAAACAAAAACTAATAGAATTCGCGTTGTTCAGAGAGAACGTAGGAGTAATTTATTTGTTTCAAATAAATATAAACAACAAATATTTCTTTTCGAGTATGCTTACAATTATACAAGCAACTAACTGTATTACATATGCTTACTTTTCATCACTTATAGTTGAATAGAATTTAAGGGAATATAGTATTGAATACATATTTATTCCGTTAGATGGCTTAATATTGTTTTAATATTAATAAATTTGATATTATATAAATTTATGTTTTTTAAATTCATTTCATTTTATGCGAATGTTAGAAAATATTTTTATATTTTTTAAATAAATATTTTCATTTGATTTTCATTTTAATTAACTAATATATTTTATTTAAATAATTGATTGAAATATTTTAATAAAATTTTGATTTTATAAAAAATTATAAATAAATCCATTACATATAAAATAAAAACCTAAAAAATAAACGAAAATAAAAAATTAAATAAATTGTAAAGAAAAAGAGTTAAGGAAGAAATAAAATTAATTTTGCATATACTCACATTTGTTGTTAGCTGAATTTGTGTTAATTATTAAAAAGAATTGTCAAAAATAAAGTTGAAAATTGCATTAATTCAAAATATTTTATACAATTAATTGTATATTTTGTTTTAAATTTTGTAATTATGATTTTTTTTTTTAAATAGTACCAAAAACAAAAATATTACAATATTTGTTAGAAAAAAAAATATAAATATAAGTATGTATATTTTAAATTAAATATAACATTCACCACACAACGTTATATAAACATTTATTGTTATAATTGTATTAAAACAAGTCATATATTTGTATTATAATGTAGTTAGTATATATATATATATATATAGATATATTATATATAAATTTAAAAATTTTTTTATGCAATTTTAAAATAATATAGTGTTTTTTTGCCCCGTCAATCCACAAAATACAAATTGCAGGTATTTATATACGGTTTTTTGTTTTTATATATTATGTATATTTTGTAGCAATTTGAAATTTACAAAAGAAGAGAAGAAAAGAAAAAAAAAATATAAAATTAATATTTATACTATAATTGAATTATTGCACAATATTATTTAACAATTTTTCATTATTGTTTTAATTTTGTTTTTTGTATAAAGAATAAATAATTGTATACGTATAACATTACAAAAATATATATACATACATCCATAATTATATATACATATATGGGATAAACATATATGTAATTGTATGTGCAAAAATATAATTTTGTCAGGTTTTTTTTTTGTTTTTAGTTTTGTATAATCATTCCAGAAATAATTTCATTATTATATTGATTTATTGGTATACAATAATATATTAGTATAATATTGGTGAAATAGTGCGAAATTTTGATATATAGGATATTTTTAGTATAATTATAAAGTTTGGAAAATGAAATTCAATTTTTAAATCATTCCTGTATTGGGTTTTAAGTATTTATTGATTTGATGTACATATATTTATTAAATAGAAATCGATTTATTTTTTATTAACACATTATGAGCGGGCGGCCTAGCATGGGCAACAATGTTGCGTAGCGGGCGAATATACAATATATACATCCGGATACATAAAAAATTTGAGGACCCTATTACTCAAAAAGTTTTTGAAAAAAATATAAGAATAAAAAAATGTCTAGGATAAGTTTCTACATCCATATTGTACCCGGTCCGCTTATAAATGACAATCAACACAAGCGGGTACTAGTACCCGACCCTCTCATACGGTGCTAATTTATAATAATTGTAAATTAAATAGAAATTGATTATTTATTTTATAATAGGTCTGAATAATTTAATAAAGGTTTTTGCTAATACGAGTATCATAATTCTTTGTTAATTATGAATAACAATCCAGGAAAGTTGCATTCCTAGTCGCAGAATGTGCATAATTAACACATTTAATTTACAATTATTTTTTAATTTACGAGTAAATGAAATTGGAAGTTTGAATTTTTTTTTTGAAAATGAAAGAAATTTTTCTAATAAAATCATTTTGTTTTCTCGTGCAAAGCAATTTTCGCTTTTATAATTTCATATAAGTAACGTATAGTTATAAAGGCTAACAGACATTTTGTTAATTAATAATAATTTTTGATTATAAAAACTTTTAATTACCATTATCGTGTACATGTTATTATGGTGATTACATTATACAATGATAATTCAAAATTAAGATGAATAGTGAAAAAATTATATTTAATTATTAATTAATGTGTCCAATTACAAATATATAAAAACATTACGAAATATACACATGATATGTGATTATTATGTTATAAATACGTGCAAATTAATAGCAGTACCCAAAAATTTTCAATTTTTATGAAAGTCGAAAATATTTTAAATTTTTTTAAATTCATTTTAATTAGAAATTATTAGTATAAAAACAAAAATGTATATTAAATTGAAAATTTTCAACCCAAAATTTTTCACCACACTCCTATTATTTTGCACGTTCAAGTCTTTTATATGAAAAATTTTTGAATTGAAAATATTAATTAGAAATGAAATTATTTTAAGAATGATTATTATATTATCAACTAATTATATTCAAAATATTTCATTGTTTTTCGTTTAAATATAATCGCATTACTGATTCTGTTAAACTCTGACAAAAATTCATTAATAAATTTTGAAAATTTTTTTGAAAACTTTTATTGTGAATATGACGGTGTCCTTTCAATGAATAACAATTTTAATTTTTGCCTCAAGAAAAAAACAAAAAAAAAAATTTTTAATTTTTAATGTTTTTTTTTTTTTTTTAATAAATTAAATATTGTAAGTCCATCTAAAATCTTAATTTCTTAATTCTAATATATACAGACTAGAAAAATCACATTTAAAAATAATAAAAAAAGAAAATTATAAATGGTTTATAATGTATTATATGTTAATATAATAAAATAATAAAATAATTATAATTATATATATATATATATATACTATCTAATTTTAAAACAAAAAAACCAAATAAAAAATAATAAAAATTCTTAATAAAATTCAAACCTGAACGTGACGCATAATTCACTAGAGCAAATTCTAGTAGAGCTCCAAATACAAATGTCAAACATACACCAGTCCAGACATCAATTGCTTTTGTATATGATACAGGTGGTAAAGATGCATTGATACCAGATGTTTGTGTTGCCATGGTTAGAAGAGTAGTGACACCTATAAACGATTTTTTTGTTTGTTTTTTTTTTTTTTTTTCATGATTTTGGATTCCGGGATAAGGAATTTGCAAAAACTATATTAGTTTAATTTGCTTTGTTTTAATTTTTTTTTTTTTTTGATTTTTGTTAGTAAATTCTTATATGAAAAAAATAATTTTGATATATACACTTGCATGGTTTGGTTTTTTTTTTTTTTTATTATTAAAGCCTTAATTAAAAAATAAAAAAATTAGTTTTTTCATTTTGAATTGTCAAAGAATCGCAAGGAATCGTTATGAATTTTGGAGTCAATTTAAAATTCTCTGCATTAATAATGATCAAATTTATGTAGATATAATATATTTGAAGGCATATGCCTAAATACAGAATGAGTGTATATAGAAATACAAGACAACAATTCGTTGAGGAGGTATGTTAAATTTTCATAAAATTTTCATTGACCTCAAATTTTTGTGTAACGTTTTAATTCAAGAGTAAAATAATTATGAAAACAGGCCAAAGCTTATAATGGCTCACAATTTTATAGATAATATGTACCGAGTGGCTTAAATTAGCTAAACAGTTATTTTATGAAACTCAGTAAATATGACGGTGGTAGAAAACCAGCTTAACCGTTAAAGTTAAGTTATTTTATTTCATTTTCATAGGGCCGATATTTCGTTTTATGAAATTGAACTTCATTAAGAAATGAAGTTTTTTTTTTTTTCAATCTTTCTAAAAATTTTTTTAATTTTTGACAATTTTATAATTGCATGAATTTCTCTTTAATACAGACTAGTCAATACTCTACTTTACTGTACACTACTTAATTTCGACTGCCATTCTTAGCTCAATTTCGGCTGCTATTTTTAATTTCTATAGCCATTTCATACCTATAAACATATATATATATATAAGTTGTAAGCTATATACCAGATTTTGTATTAGTTTCTGAATTCCCAAATAGTTTTTGTTTTGATTTTTGTGAAAATTTGACATATTCAAAATAAATAAACTGTTATAGATATTTATGCAAAAAAATAAATAAATAATTAAATATATTTTTATTTGAAAAAAATCGTTGATTGAACGTCTGATAAGTTAAAAAATTTTGTATATATGTTTGATGTATATATACATAAATAGACATAGGTGGTAGAAACACTTCACATTTTATGTACAATTCACAGTTTTTTTTTTTAATTTTTTTTTCTTTTGTTTTAAATTTACTAATTACTTTACGATACTTTTATTGATTGAAATTTGCTTTTTTTGTTACATACTCGTAATATACAAAAATGAAAATTTTAATTGTGTTTAAAAACTAATAAAAAAATAAATATAAATATAAATATGCTGATTTACTATACAACAATTAAAATAATTAAAAAGATAATATTTAAAAATAAAATATTTTTTTTTTTATATTTAAAGCAAGCAAGCAAGCAATTTTGTTTTTTGAGTTAGTTCAAAAAAATCAAATAAAAATTAAATATGTTTTCTAAGTAAATTTTGTTTTCTAAAAAATTTAAGAATATTGTAAGTAGCTAGGTATATTATCTTTTATACATAATTATTTAAAATCATTTAAATTTTGAATACATACATAATTATGTATAAGTAAAGTTACAGAAAAAAAATTGAAAAAGGTTACATTGGACATTAAAAATACGGTTTCGTAAAAATAAATTATTCCCTAAAAATATGCAATTTTGCACAGTTCATTAATATTATGCAAAATATTAAATTGAATGGTGCATATTAAAAGTAGGAATTGGTTCTTCTGAAAACACAATTCTAACTTAGTATTAGATTGAAATGTGCATGCTTAAAAAGAACTGCTTTAACCGCAAAGCAGTGATTTTAAAAATGTAGAAGTTCAGTAGTAGCTTATTTGAAAACTGTAACTGCAAGAAAAACAAAAAAAAGAAAAAGAAGAGTGTACCAGCGCCTACGCCTCCGGAAAATAAAAAATATTGACCAGAACTTTCTTTTCACTGTAGATGAATGCAGTAAAAAATTTAATAAGCTATTTATTACTTATAAAAGTATAAAAATTCGGCATCATACTGTTTAATGCACGCCAGCAATACTGTGATACGAGATTTTTTCTTTTTTATAAAATTTTTTGAATTTATGATTATTAAGAAACTTTTTCGGAAAATGTGTTTTTTTAATTATGTATTTAAGTCAAATACAAATAATATGACAACTAATAATGAAATACAATGTAATATGTAAGACAAATAGAATAATGTCAACTTCAAATTAGTACTAAAATTACATTTTCAAGTATAACTTAGCTAAAAAACTGCAAAAAGTTTTTACTGCTACGAAACAAACGAAAAGTTTTTGCAATTGTCAATCAATGCAAAAAAGTTTTTTTTTAGTTTTAAGTTAGATTTGCATACACGCATGTGACTTTTTCAGAAGAACCCAATCTTAAATGCATATTATATAATAATTATGTATATAACGGGTAGAAATTAAAGTTTTTTATTAAATTTTATTTAAAAAACTATGTACATAATATACATGAGTATATGTCATTGTAATTGAATATAACATTATTTATTTTTATTTGATTTTTTTTACATAATTTCATATTTATATACAATACAATTAATTGCATTCCAATAACATTTATGCAAAATAATATTTAAAATACAACAATTAATTATTATACAAAATATAAGTACAAAAAAAATTATAAAATTAAAAATATATTAAATTGGATAAGCATATTAATAATACTGAAGAAAAAAATTATAACAAAAAGAAATTTATATTTAAATCAAAAATGCATATTTTTAGGAGGTTTTCTTGCCATATTTTTTAAAATTATTATTAAGTATTTAAATCATATTAATTTTTTTTTTCAGCTGGAAGCCATTTTAACAATTTGGTGCGAGAAACAATTTTTAATTCTTAAAAATAAAAAAAAAATATTAATGTAAAATTTAAAAAAAAAAAATTTGTAAGTTTATTAAGATTTAGATTTTCGAATTTACGATATTATTGAAGAAAAAAAAATTGTTTTCACACACAGACCTTTCATTTGGAATGTATGTATTTTTTGGTTTACAAATTTGAAAAAAAATAATACACTGTTTTTTTTTTTATTATTTAAAAAGCTTGATAAATTATTTCTGGATATCTTTGGAGATTTTCTGTATAGTGCACCAGTACTAAAAATGAGATATGTATAAATACATACATATATACACACACATTATAGATTTTTATAAATTAATAAAATATTCTCTGAAATTAACTATAAACAGAATTTCCATTCAACAATTTTTTTTTATAGATACGAAATTATTATATTAAATAACTTACATGTATTTGAAAGATTAGAAATTTATTTGATGGTATGGGGAAATTTTTTGAAAATGCCGTGTTTGAATTTTAATAGTTTTCAAAAGGCTCAATTCACGTTTTTATATAGTGAAATTGAATTTGTAAAAATTACAAAAACTTTAAAAATTTTTTTACTTTAGGTGCAGCATTTTCAAAAATATATAAAAAGTGTTTACATATAAAGTGTTCAATTCTACGAAATTTTAAATGTGATATATTAAAGTTATTTAAAGGAGGAATAAAAAAATTTAAGTCAATGAGAAGGAAGATTTCATAGAGGTAAATAAATTTAGAAAATCTATTTCTGTTTATCAAAAAAAAAAAAAAAAGTAAAGAAAACAATAATAGGTTGTAAAAATGCAAAATAGAAATCCTGTTATAGATAATCCTGATAATAAATTTCTATAAGTATTTTTTTTTTAATAATTTCATACGCTATAGATATAGTAATGTCATCCTTTTAAAATAAAGAATAGTGAAATGTAGACGCAGCGCCATATGTTGAAAACGAAGTAAATACAATGTTGTCGGCTATAATCACATAGTTATGTTATACGAAGAGAGAGAAAAAGAATGAAGAGAGGTAAACAGATTTTAATTTTCTCATTTTTAGTACTGAAACATTTTCGTGTCTTCTTAACTCCTTAACGTACATGGCACACAAACTTACAAATCGTTACAATAACTTATTTTTTTATTATTTTTATACTTAACTGTAAAAAAAGTACAAGGAAAATGTCAAAATAATTTTTTTTTTGTTTTTTTTAAATGAATTTAACAAACATAAAATAAAAACAATGAATGTCTTCAAAAATGCTTTACAAAAAGTTTTATTACGATATATATAGGATTCTTTAACCGTCTAAAAATTTTTAGTACTAAATTACATTCTTATACTAAATTTTAAAGAGAAAACTAAATAATTAGCACCTTTTATGCTAATTTATTTCTTGCTTCTATTTGGTAACACCTTAAATGGCATGTATAATACTTAACATTTTTGAGCAGTATATAATGTTAAAAATTTTCATTTAGAGCTTCTTTGAATGTGATACTTTGCATGGTTTACATTTTGAGCGCATTTTTGAAGTCACGCAACATTTTAATAAAAAGTTTTATACTCGTAACTAAAAATTGAAATAAGAATGCAAAAAACCCAAAAACAAAAAAAAAAAAAATAACAAATCAAAATAAATGTTTCATTTTGTATTATCAATTTGTATGTGTGTGTCATTGTTTATAAAACATTAATAAAATTTACAAAATAAGAAACAAAAAAATTTGTGAAAAATATTTAACAAAAATATAAAATGTTTAAATGATTAAGTACGATCGAAACTGATTTGCGAACCCCCTACACCCAAGAATTTTCGAAAACAATAAAAAGAAAAACAACAACAAAAAATATGTGAATTTAATTTTTGAAAATATACTAATAATAATAATTAGTACAACTACTGCTAATGGTGTGCAAAATTAATTTCTTGGGTTGTATGGTTACAGCTGTAATTGGACATTTTGGGTAAATTTCACAGAAATTATTATTATAAGAGTTTTTTTATTTTTTATTTTGGGATAATATGGTGGAATTACCTGTGAGCGCCAAAAATATCAGCTTTTTATATATATATATATGTATATATATATATATATATAGTATGTATTCTCGAACCTGCTAACGCATAAAAATAATAATTTTAAATCTTTTTGTTTTGTGAGTCGGTTGTGGCCGATTGAAATTGGATAAACAATTGTAATAACAATTACCTTTATTAAATTTTTAAATTATATAATGTAATTTCTTTTTAAAATTTACTTATATAATTGATTGCAATTTAAATGACGTGTACTGATGTTTGATGACGTTAAAATAAAAAATTATCGCCAATTTAAAAATTTTTAAAATTTTACCAATTTTATAATTTAATTTTCATTGAAAATACATATAATAATTTCCGGAATTATTATATAATTAAGATTATATGCTTGAACTCGTTGCTCAAATTATATCATTAGATTTACATACATATTTGTTTCTCTTTCTGGAAGTGAAGAGCAATTTTTTAAAAAATTAATATTAATTTATGTCAATATACGGACAAATCGACAGACATATTAAATAAGTACATATAATATGTATGTATATGTATTTAAAAAATATAATTGTTTCAGGTTTTCCAAATTTTTACATTATATACATAAGTATATGTAGGCAGTAACGGAAGACTCCTTTAATTGAATCTCAGTAATAAATTTCGTAATTAAATTATAATAGTAAGAATATTTAATTTTGAGTTTAACTTTTGATTTTTGATTCATTATTAATTTAATACTAAAATTAAAAATAAATAAAAAATATACCGTAACTTCAAAATTGTCGTTTATAATAATTTATTGCTACACAATTCAGCTATTCAATTACTACACATTATCTCTCATAAGTTGAATTATGTACTAAAACCGTATTTTTGCAATTTTGAAGTCTGCGATGTTCTTAATAACCTACTATGTAAGCCTCTCGGAAATTGATTTATTCTTTTAACAAAAATTAACAAAAAAAAAACATAATTTTATGTTTAAAAGAAATAAAAAAATAACAATAATAAAGTTTATTATATTTTTTTATAGTATATATATCAAAAAATAAAAATGAAATTTTTTTTTTTTTTTCTATTTAATTGAAATTTTTTAAATAACCTACCTATACACTTAATTATAAATCCATTGTGTTTGTTGACTTATTTTGATTGTACGTTAAGGGTTAAGTTATATAAAATATTATAAAAATTTTTTCTATATGTATATATATGTATATATGTACATTACAAAAACATCAAAGCAAAATTTCTTGCCGTTCATAGGAATGTTTTACCAAAATTTAATGCTCGAAATTTTGTATAAAAATTGAATTAAATTAATTAAAATTATAAATTCAGGTTCAGGAGGCATACCATATGATTCAATTTTTATAATACAAAAACATATTACGAATTCGTGTCTTCAGGGACTGCGGTAGGCCAAGCAGTTTCTGGTAGATAATGTCCGGAAGTGTTTCAAGAAGGTTATAGGTTTGGGTAAGAACCAGTTGAGAATCCTCATCGGGGTCTTTTCGCGTTACTGCAAACTTAGGCTAGGCCTTGAAACTGAAAACACTTTCAGATTCTGTGGAGAAGATACGGAGACCTCAGTGCACCTTCTGGGGGAGTGTGATACTCTCGCCCGTAGAAAAAGGGAAATACTGGTGGGGCTCACAAGTTGCTTGAGTTCATCAGGAGAGTGGGACTCAAGCGTGTGTTGTCGAGCTGAGGGAGAGGGGGGCACGGTACTAATGAAAAGCACATCCGGACATAGGGAAAGATTACATAGTAGGCCTCCAGTATTTGACTAATTGATAAGAATATATGAATAAAATTTATTCATATACATATATACACATATGTACTATATATTTTTCAAATATTTGACGAAATTAATATAGAGGATGTAAAAGAATTTTTTTTATTTTAAACTGATTAGAAATTTTGGTAGATTTATTGGGATTTTTTACTTTTTTTATTAATATATTTTTATTGTTGTTTTTAAAATATATATTGAAAATGCGATGACTTATATATACAGTGGAAGAGACGAACGTCTGACTACTTGAATGAGTAAAACAAAATCTTACTTTGTATCACAAATACAAAATGTTTATAGTAAAATAATTTAAAATTTTTTTAAATTTTTTTTTTTTAAATTATAACATCAATCAAATTTTATTTAATTACAATCAATATAAATTTAAAAAAATGTGAACGTAAAGAAAAAAAAAAAGAAAACAATAAATTAAAAACAAAAAATTATAAAAACATTTAAGCTTTTAATTTACAAGCACAATTTTTTACTTTTTTTTTTGTTTTAGATAAAAACAGTTTCATTGTAAAAAAAATAAGATAGTGTTCTACCATCATGTACTATTATACGTTTTACTATTCTAGGTTCAGAATTCTCAACATAGAACAGTCCATCATAGTTTTCATTTGAATTTTCTTTAGTTTTTTGCCTTTTTGTTAGTAAAAAAATTTTTTTTTTTGATTTTATGCGCACACATACCAAGTGATACTCGTGCTGGTACAGCTCCTTGATCTAACCAAAAAGATACCCATGATACAATAACCAACATACAGCATGGAATGTAAATTTGAATAAGATAGTATGAGAATTCTCGCTTGAATAGTAAATCGACTTTAAGACAACTGTATTCACCTAGAAAGTTTAATTATATATGGAAATTTAAAATAATATTTAACACATACGCTTTTAAATCATATCCTTTTTGAATTAAAGGATTCTCTTTTTTTGTTTTTTTTTTCTAATTTTTCATCCTGATTTTATTCTTATATTCATTCTTTTTGAGAGAAGTTTTTAAAAAAAAAATTAATAAAAGTTGTAAATTAAATAATTTTATACTCAAAAAAACAACAACAAAAAAAAAACAAAAAAAAAGGAGCAATTTTGTTTTAATAAATTTGACAAAAAAAAAATAATAATAAAAATAAGCAAATTTATTTTTTGCTTCTTCTTTACCAGTATTAGTTTTACTGTTACAATAATCAGTCAAAAATTTTTCCAATGTAAAGCGAGGTAGGTGTAAATTTTTAACAACTTGAACTGGATCACCTTCTTTCCAAAGGAACACAAGATCATTAGTTGTCCAACCATCTAAAAGATTATTTTGAATGTTGTAAAAAAAAAATAATTAAGTATAAGTGTTATGATTCTAATATAACATTAGATATTAGAGATTTTGTGCATTATGTAAATCGCACCTATATAATTAACATTACCACATATCCAAAAAAAAATCTGATGTGATCAGCACATAATCGACCGCAATGCGTATTGTCTGGTTTAGTAAAATTATTATGAAAGTTTTTGAAAATGTGTTTTAAAGACTTCTTTACAATTTTGAGGACACTAGTAAGCTTTTAGTTAATATATCTCGAAAAATGTAAATTTGGCTCTTAGTAGAGTTTCGTTTTGTGCCATTTGAATTTCATGAAAAGTTCGGTAGTTAGTTTCGATAACAACCAGAACTCAAATATTAATTTCAAGAATTTCCTGATCTTTTCAAAAAATTTAGAGATTCATGTTTGTTTTAACACTCCGAATTTAAATTTTAAATTTGAAGGAAATTGGTTACTTATTTCAACAAAATAAACTCACATCTAAAATTTTATCGAAATCGATTCAGAGACCGACAGACAGGCAGACAGACAGACCGATATCTCTCTAAAAATAGTTTATTTATGGTTTCCTACTATGGAAAAGTGCGTTCCCAATTAAAACTCGACGTCGGAAATATGTTACCATCACATAACTTTCTTTATTGTATCCAATGCGGTCGGTTGTAACTCAAAGTTATTCGAATAATATTGTAAATTTTCTTATCTTGTCGTTTTTACAATATTTTGTGTAATTAAACAGTGTTATTTTATAGATGCTTGCATATATTTAAAAACATATTATATGAAAATAGAAGAACAGATATGTTTAAAATTATATGTTCCTATAATTATAACTATAGAAACTATAAAATTCCATGTTATCAAAATTAGAAATTGTTCTATGATATTTTAATATTTGTTTGGGTATATTTAAATAGATATACTTACAGCTAGCCATTCTTAGAGAACAAATTTGTCTATCCAACGGATATAGTTTTAAATTCATTGGGCATGCCAATGTCAAGGATATTCTTATACTGTATAAAACTGATCCATTTGGAAATATACGAATGTATACATTTGGCATAATAATATTATGAAAATGACCTTCCTTTTCATTCGAAAAGAATAAATCCGGCATCCATACTCTGTTAGCTTCGGTTAATGTTAGATATTTGAGGCGACCTAAATAATTATAATAAAAATTTAAATTAATTTTGTTTTTTTAAATGTTTTATTAGTATAAACTGACACTTAAAATTGTTAGGGGTAATTTAGAGTAGTAGTATGTGTAATGTTTTGTAAATCGCTTGAGGGCTTGATTTCATAGTGGTATAAAGGATAGTAGAACTGTTATTTTAATGTCATTTCTACTAAGGATACTGAAAAAGTTGTAGATGTATACATATGGGGCCATCTTAATATGGTGCATCATAATGGAAGGTAAACGGAAACGGGCCCGGACTGTAGTTGTTCGCTGTCGCAGCTTTCAATTCATGGCTCTCGGAATGGTATGCCGGGAGACATGCAGTAAAGCAGAATTGTAAGGGTTAGATTTGGAGGTTTATACATTGAGCGTTTCTTTATTAAGGGCACTCTCTATAAACGGGTATGCTTTTTCTTCTTCTCTGGAATTTATAAATTTACTACAGATTTGATTTTTGAGGGCTACCTTCTTCAAGCGTGGGTGCTAGCCTCAACTAACTGTTTGAGTCGGATTGCGACTTGTACTGCCGTCCACGAAGGGGTATCTCCAGATTTATACTTGGAATAAGAAAATATGCGAAAGTGTGGGGTGGCCTCATTCGGTTCCCTTGGAATCTACCAATCTAGGATCTAGTCTAAATATTAATCCAAAGAAAACTAAACCATTATAAGATAAGATAAAAAAATACCAAACCATACTTTGCTTATGCAATTTTTACTTATAATTATATACAGATTTATTTTTTAGTTTCTAAATTACGTGTGATATTTATAAATTTAAATTTCCAACTTAAAATATAAAATAACTTATAAACGTGTAAAAAATAGTGATTTAAATATATAATTTATTTGAAAAATAAAAACGAATAACTTACCTTGAATGTCGTCAAATTTTAACCGTTCATCTATCCACTGCTCTCTGAATGTTAACTGTACGCTGTATTCCTATACATTGATAGTACGCGTTTATAATTCGAATAAGAATTTGCGTATATCAAGGGGAAAAAAAATTAAATATTAACAAAACTTGTTGCTTTTGTTGTTTTTTTTTTTTAAGAATATGAACTTTTTTATTAAATTTTTTGCTTTGTGTTTTAAAAGTTTATTTATATAAAATGTAGAAATAATCAAATTTTTTTTTTGTAAAAATATTTTTTTTTTGCTTTTACTTAATTTTTAATTAAATTTTTTACTATTTTGTTTTTTTTTATAATATTTTGTAATGGTATTAGCAAGTATAACAAGATGCAACATCTACAGTAAATCATGCTGCGCAAGCATATTTTTTTCTTTTTCTTTTATTATTATTTGTAGAATATAAGGTTTTGGTTTTGTATAAAAATATTTCTATTTATTTATTTATTAATATAATGGGAAATTAAATTTATATATTGTTTATAAATTAAATTCTATATGCAACATGTTTCCGAATTGAATTTGCCAATATTTTGTTTGATTTTTTTTTAAGGTAAATTTTGTATTTTTTTTTTATTTTAGTTTTATATAATAGTCTAGATATATTATAGTTTAGTATAATAATATTTTATTAAAAGATAAAAAAAAAAATTATCTAAAAAGCCAGGCATTTTATTTTATAAACTTTTTATTTAAAATATGTTATTTAAAATATAACTTAATAAATATATAAAAAATCACTAAAATTATATCATTTATTTTAAATAACAATAATATATAAATTATAGTTGCAATATAAATATTTAAAGCATATTGTCAATATAACTTTTGAATTTTAGTTTTTTCAAATGCAAAGCTTCTAAACAAGCAAGTAAGCAGGCAAGCAGGCACACAAGCAATTTATAATGCATTCATATAATATTTTTAAATATTATATATAATACAAAGTATATAAGGAAATTTTTGTATATATATCACTTTTAAAAATGCAAATAAATAGAGTATATGTATATTTGTGTGTATGTAGGTTAATAATAAAAGCATATTTATATAAGTATTATATTAAAAATAATTGCTATAAAATTTATATATATATATGTGTATTAAAAAACAAATTTATATTTATATAATAATATAAGAGTATTATATATATACATATATGCAAAGATAATTTGAAGAGAATAATTTATATAAAAATCTAATAATAAATTTAATATAGTTTATAAAAAAAATTTTGTCATTCGCAATATAATTATATTATATATAAATAATATTTTAAGTTTTATTGTATTTTATATACGCTGGTTATAACTAAGGTAAAATTTTATGTATATGCATATAAAGAAGAGTGCATAGCAAATATATAGAGCTTAAATATAAATAAATTTTATTTAAAAGCATATTATTATTTTAATTCAATCTCATAATATATTATATAAAATGTAGAAAGAGCTATATAAGAATTTAATATATTATATGTATGTATAAAAAAGTATACACATAAAAATTTAAAAATAAAAATCATATTTTTATATTGTATTGTATATAAATATATTCATATATATTTACAATATATACAATAATTAATTATCATGCACTTAAAGCTGAAATTAAAAAAAAAAATAATATTAAATTATATTAAATTATATTAAAAAATAATATTAAATAATATTAAATAATATTAAAATTTGTATATATAAAAAAAAGAAAAAATTATGAAAAAAAGCAAATTAAGATTGAATAATGTGATTTTAAATATTTTGTATTTAAATATTATAGTATTGTTTTATTATATAAATATATAATATACTTTGGAGTAGAGATTTTCAAATTTAAACACAATATACAACAAAAGCAACTATTGTAGTTTAAATATAATATTACTGTTTTGACAGTGTTGTGCATTTGTTATGACAGTATTCCAGTGTTGTAATATTGAACTTGCTTTTCAGTAGCATTTTGTTCGAAAAAAAGTAGTATGGAGAGCTTGAATATAGTAGTTTGGGATTATTATTAATAACAAACAAAAAATTTTACTAAACGATTTTGTTATTACATTTTTTAGCTTTATACAGAATTTTATTTCCGAATTTACGTAATTTTATTCAAAATTAATTTCAATAAACTTAGATCTTTGAGTGTACCCGCATTCAAAACCTTGCGTTCATACTTCATATTAATAAAGTTGGGGCAACCCAATGGTTTTTATTGTAGAACTTTTAGTTTCAACAAGTGAAAATACTGCTTTTAAATACAGTCTATGTATACCTACCACACTATTTAAATTATTTTCATTCATATACGAAGCTATTTCTAGGATTGCATATATTTAGGATGAACAATTTATGCAGTCTTTGAAATAAAGCAAAAATTAATATAAAGTAGGGTTAACATAATGCTCGATTTTAAGGTTTAATTAAGTGAGTTAAGAAAAAAAGAAAAATAGTTATATTTTCTAATGTCATGGAACTTACCGTTAGCTTATTGCGTTTATAGAAATTTGAAAAAGCTGGCGGTTTTGGAAATCAAACACTTTTTACAACCGGAATTTTTCAGCAATGCGAATCAAAATAATGTAATTTTGACGCGAGCTTTGCGTAATATAAAATTTCAAAGTTTGGCGTTTCTTTTGCGGCAACATTTTGAAGATTCTAAATTCAATTTTCTTTTAGTACAAGAGATTTTATAGTAACAATAGAAATGAAACTTTTATAAACAAATACTAATATTTGTCAAGACATTTTCTAGTATAAATATAAAAAAGTGCAGTAGCGCCGTATTTTAGATTGTCAAATTGCAGTAAAAATAACAACACTGGACTGTACTAATTTTCCTATTTGATTGATTATTTAGAAATTATTATAAACAAAATTTATCAGGAACATTATTGTTTATAAGCTCCCAATTATATTTATTGTTACCACGATACTATAATATTGTGTTTAGGAAAATCTCTATTATATGTTTTTTCTACTTAATATTTTTCTTATAATAATTATTATTAATTATACATGTATGTATATTATACATAGGTTAGTATATATAATCATGTTTTTTGTTTTGTTATATATTTACCGCCAGTTATACTTTGGTATTATTATTATATATATATATATTACAATATTTTAAAAAAAAATATCAATTTGTTGATAATATTGTAAATTTTTTTTGGAAAATGTATATAAAGATATAAATAGACAGAAAAAAAAACGAAAATGAAAAAAGAAAATTATTGAGTAAAAATAATAAAATATAAAAATATAATAATTATAATATTATATAATACATATAATATATATATAGAGTAAAAATTATATTATAATATTCAAATTCTTAAAAAAAAATTAATTATTATATTTAAAATAATTAAGTATATTAAAAATTCTTTTAGTTTCTTAAAAGTAATACAAAAAATATGTACGAGAAATTGAGAGACAGGGAGATTGAATAACAGAGGGCAGAGAATTAGGGACTTCAGCTTTGTTTTTGATTTTGAGATATATGCTACTATCTATGCTATTTTCCAGTTTTAAATAAAACTGCAATTTTAATTTACAAAAATTTTTTTAAATATTTATGAATTAATGCTATGAAATTTCTCCCATTTATTAAGACAAATGCTTATGTCTTCAGTTATTTTAATGAATTGCTGTTACTTTCGACGTTGTAATATATCCCATAAGATTCCTAAACCAACGCTCCTTACTTATAAACCAGAATTTACAAATTCATCAATTCTTTTTCTCCTTAAGTAAGAAAATAAGGAGATCGTAATAAAAGTTAGATATAAAATTTTTAATATTTTCGACTATATTCGACTAAGAACGTTTTTTGTTTTGTCTATACCCGTGGACTATATCCCTGGAAAAGAATTATATAGCAATCTTTTAACATTATTGCCAAATACTTAAATATAGACTTGACTCTAAATCTTCTTTGTTACATTTAAATCAATTATTCACACATTATATTGTGTATAACTTAATTTTATAGGCTATATCTTTATTTTAATGAGATTTTCTCTATTACACATTTAGTTCTAAAATTGAAAACTATTCAGTTATGAAAGGATAACTTGGTATTAATTATTATGATATTCATTTTATTATATATTACTATAACATTTAGGAATTTTTAATAATTTAATGTTAGAATTGTTTGGTTAACTAAAAAATTTAAAATAAGTTACAAATAAAGTTTTGTCTAATTTTTCAGAGTCAGATGTTTGATACATTTTGATTTTATTTTGATTTTATTGATAAAATGATATTTGAAGTGGAAGAAAGATGCTGAAACTTAAGGAAATCCCATTATGTACCTATCTTTAAAATTCAAAGGCTCTTTATCTAATTTTTAATGAGGTTTAGGCTGCTTATCTTTGAAATAATCTTTATATCATTTTAATTATATTAGTTCTCTCATTTTAATTAAATTATAATTGTTTCAAATTTGAAAGTATAATGCCCATACGGGTCACGTAACTATGTGTTCCAATAGTTTATAGAGAATTATTTATTTAAATTAATAAGTCTTTTATTTACAAGAAGTATTTGACTATAATATTAGACCCATAAATAAATTTAATATAAGTACAAATTAAAATTATTACTGTGTTATTTTATAAAAAAAACACAAATTTAATTTCAATTCTGATTTATTTTTATTTTTTCTGTATTTAAATTACACTATATAACAGAATAAGAAGGTGTTATGCTAACTGTTATTACTTTACGATTAACAGACGATTAACTGACGATTAACAATGTTTAAATCTTAAGTGCTAATATTTATAATGTAAATATGCTAAATAAGCATATTTGCCTATTGCAACATTCTTGTGAACATTATTGTGGGAAAATATTTTGGAATGTTTTGTTTGTTACGCGTGAACACGTGGCAGTCTAACGTGAGTTATGGAATGTTTGCATTTTTGGTGTTAACTTACATATTGTAGACTAGAAAGTGTTCATACATTAAGTAGCTTAAATTTTGTTTTTAAATTATTCTGCAGAGATTTCAGATCTATTTTT